CATCTTTCTCCCGCAGAACACCTGGAACATAAAAACACTTAGGCATTATAATCTATAATAATTTACACTAAGGTGCACCGGATCCAAGCCATGGTATTTTCAGTAACCTCATAGACATGTGAAAGTTAGACAGTAAATAAGGAAGACCATACAGTGGAGGGCTGGAGAAGGAGAGGAAGATCCAACGAGAGGGATGGGCACAGTGGTGGCAGCAGGGGACTCGGGCTTCACAACGATTGTGAGGTTGGTACAGGACTGGGCAGTGTTTCATTCTGTTGTGCAGAGGGTCGCTCTGAGTCGGTCCCAACTCAATGGCACCTCCCAACAACAACAAGTCTTCCGAGTTTATGATTTACTCCCTTGTTTTGGTAGAGCACATCCTCTAGCAGCTTGCTTAGGAAAGGAAGAGGTTAAATTTTTTGAGACTGTATGTTTATTAAAATATCTTTATAATACTACCTTCACATTGAATGGTACTTGGGTTGGGGATAGCATTTTAGATGGTAAATAACTCCCCACCTCCGCACCATCGAGGCTAGGTCAAATGGGTATTGTCTGCAACTTTGGGTGTTCTCGTGCGTCTCCCCTCACTTCGTATCAGCTGGATGCTTCACTCTCAGCTCTAGTCCTCTGTGGCTATGTCCTTGTCCATGGGCTCAAGTGTCCCCAAGTCTCACCACATTTTGGACCAACCAGCCCTTCCTCTTATGAAAATATCTTTATAATACTACCTTCACATTGAATGGTACTTGCGATGGGGATAGCATTTTAATGGTAAATAACTCCCCACCTCCGCACCCCAGATTTTAAAGACACTCTTTATTCCCTTCTAGCATCCAGAGCTGCTGATTTCTAAAATCCAAGACCAGAATCTGGACCCTGTTGATTTGCTCTGTGTTTTTCTTTCTAAGAGTTTTTAGGATCCTCTGCTTGCTAATGTTCTAAAATGTCACAATAACGTACTGTAGGGTGGATCTGTTTCCTTTTATTACTCTATATGTTCCATCCGGAGGCTTGTTTCCTTCATCTCTGGAATTTGGGTGTGTGTTTTATGTATTTAATAATTTTCTTTGCTTTATTTTCTCTGTTCCCTCTGAAATTTTCATTAGTTGAATACTGAACCTACAGGATTGAATCTCCAACGTTCTCATGTTTTCTTATCGATTGTCCCTCCTAGTTTTGGTTCTGACATCATGTAAGAGTCTCCAGTCCTTCTATGTCAGAAGCCAGCTTCACTGAATAGGAAACTGTTCTCTAGTGGGAGACACTGTCAAGTTATGTGGAAAAGGTAGCCATGTATAACCCTGTTACAAGGAAGGTAATATGAATTAGGAGCAACAATATCTAACCCTATTACCAGAAGGTAATTATGAATTAGGAGCAACAATCTACCATGCTTCCTATTGAGTTTTAAATTCGGATCCTACATCTTTAATGTTTTTAAATTTGATTTGGGGAAATTACAAAGGACACATCAGTTCAGCCAATTCAGTGACACTGACTACATTCTTCGAGTCTATTTTGAATTTTTAAGAATGAGGATTTTAAGCATTCTCTGAATAGTTGTTTTGGTGGGTGGTTTGTTTGTTTTTTTTTTTTTCATCTTCTTCTTGTTTCATGGGCATATTCCATCTATGAGATAACAATTGTGGAGAATGATGTTTTCTTTTTCTCCTTTCCTCTGAGTTTCTCTTTTTCCTGGTTGTTTGTTTTCGTTCATTTTTCATAGCAGTGATTCTACCCGGAAGTGGAGACCACTGCTCTTGCTGTGTTTGAGAGTGAGGTGATGTGTGGCCAACGGATATGCCTTGTGCACTGATGGGGCTCCGATCTTGCTCAGGTGCGTGGTGAGGTGATGTGTGGCCTGTGTGCACAGGTGGGGGCTCCGATCTTGCTCACGTGTGTGGTGAGGTGATGTGTGGCCTGTGTGCACAGGTGGGGCTCCGATCTTGCTCAGGTGTGTGGTGACACCTGTCAGGGTCTGTTGGCCTTTCTCTTGGGGTGGTCATTGTCCCCAGAACAGACTCCTCTCTCCTGGTGGTAGTGGGGGCTGTATTCCCTGGAGTTGGTTGCAACTCATAGATCCTGTGCATGGTTTCCGAGGCTGTAAATCTTGATGGCTGCAGACAGCCTCTTCTTTCTCTTGCCAAGTGGCTGGTGGATTAGAACTGCTGACCTTGTGGTTGGCAGCTCCACAAGTAACCCACTATGCTACCAGGGATGTTTTCTCCTCTCCTGGTGGTGGGGGTGGGGGTTGTGTGCCATGGTGTCAGTTCTGACTCATGGGAACCTTTATTCTGCCAAAATTTATAACATCATTCATGGTCCATACAAAATTATCAACTTAAAAATTAGCCTGCTATATTTGGTTGACATTGAATTAACTCAGCCCTAATGTGATGGCTGGAGTCCGATGTGGTGCTGCTGGTTAATGCGCTGGACTATAAGGTCAGTTTGAACCACAAGGTTGGCAGTGCAAACCTCCAGCCGCTCCTCGGGAACCCTATACAGGGTCGTAGGAGTTGGAACCATCTCGACAGCACTTCACAAGAACACCAACAATGGGATGGCCACGGAGCCTTGACAGTGTAGTGGATAATGAGCTGCTCTGCTAACCGCAAGGTCAGCAGTTCAAATCTACCAGCTGCTCCACCGTAGAAAGGTGAAGCTTTCTGCTCATGTAAAGATTTACAGCCTTGGAAACCCTCTACAGGGTCACTATGAGTCAGAACCAACACAGTGGCACACAACCACCATCACCAGTATGATGGCTGGTACTGTGGTTACTTGGCAGGACCAGTATGATGGCTGGCACTGTGGTTGCTTGGCAGGACCAGACCAAGTGGTTTTGCCGGCGGTCTACGGCCCTGGGGCCAGACATTTCCCAGCCCTGCTGTACAGGCAGCTGCCTCTGTCTCTGACCTTGCCGGCAGCAACCCAGCTAACAGCTCACATGCTCCCAGGGTTCCTTTCTGTCTCCTCTTGTTAATCATGCTGCGGAGTCAGCTCAGACTCCTAGACCCTGTATGGGGTTTCTGAGCAACAGCTGGCCTGTGGTTCTCAGTCCAGACTTTGTCCTGCAGCCCCTCACCAGGACTCCCCTCTCCTAGTGGAGGGGTTGGCACGGACAGTTCCCACTCATAGTGACTCTGCATGGGGTTTCCGATGCTGTACATCTTTATGGGAGCAGAAAACCTCATCTTTCTCCCACTGAAAGGCTGGTAGTTTCGGACTGCTGACCTCAAGATCAAGGACTTGTAACCACTACACTACCAGAGCCCCTCTCCTGGAGGGTGGGGGGGTGGGGTGGGAATTGAACCAGCTGTATCCTTCTTGATGCAAAGTAGAGGAAGGAGGGGAGCCCCCACCCCCAGGACACTGCAGAGAGTGGTCTTGTGCAGGTGCGGCCCCAAGGCTGGGAAGTTAGGGAAGACCAGAAGGGGCTTTCCAACACAGCCTCCTGCTTACAGTGTCCCTAGGGCATCAGCTGCCCTAGTCTCCCCTCAGGCCTTGTCCCCCTGGTTCAGCTGCCTGAGGTGACTAACTGTTGGCCTTCACAGTTGTCCACTGTTTGGTCTTTTGTGTTGGACATTCATGATCTTTACTTTCCCTGCAGCATTTCAGAGTGGGCTTGGGGAGGTGAGGGCCTGAACTGTGAGCCCTGCCTGGGAACACTCTTCACCAAAGCCTTTTCTGGCTAAGCAGCCCCCACCCCACCCCGAAGTTCAGTGTGAGCACTGGTCAGTTCTGGGCAGTGCACTGTGCCTGGCAGGTCTGGCCCAGGTAAATGAGCGAGGCTTCCTCGCTAAAGACTGGTGCAGGCTGGCGCTGGGGGTCGGGGTAGGTTGGGGGGACTTCAGGCTCTCAGTGAAGCCACAGGCCACAGGATCAGAGATGGCGAGTTTCCTGTGCGCCCTGATCCCCAGCTGGGAGCTTGGGCTTCGGGGACCAGAGTGAGCAGATATTACCCTAGAAAGTGTCCTGCCCGGCCTCGCTGAGAGCACCGACCAGGGGACTGAGGTTTGGCCCACGTGGACAGCTGTCCTGTCCCCGCAGGTGAGTGAGCAGCCGCTGCTTCGGTGCCCAGGCCGCCGCTGGAACATCAGCATCGATGAGCGCCGACGGCTGGCCTTGCTGGACAACCTGGAGAGGCCGGGCGCCGGGACCCACTCCTGTTATGGGGTGCGCAGGGATGGGAACAGCCCTGGGCGGAGGTCTCCCCTCCCCTCCCCACCGCTGACTCCCCGCCAAGCTCCTCCCGCCCCACCCCTGGCCCCACCCTCCACTCTCTGGCCTCTCCCGGGTCCCTCACTGGCCCCCTGACCTCCGTGGCCCACAGGAGATTGCGCAGGTCGTGTGCCAGCTGGTGTCGGAGGACGTGGACAGAGACGTGCTCATCCCTCACCCGTCCAGGTCTGCTAAGTCCGCCAAGGCCTTCCACGCCTTCCTGTCCCGAAACACAGGAAGTACAAGGGCGGAGCAGTCCACCCGTGAGGTCCGGGCCTCGAAGCCGCCCCGCCCCTAAGAGTCTCACTCAGCGCACTGTCTGTCCTCTGAGCCTTTTTGGGGGATTACGGTGGGGTGGGGCGGGGAAGGTTGGGGAAGAAGTCAGATCTCCCCAGAGTAGCCTGGGTAGCAACCTCCCAGCCACGAGGTGGGGCGACCTCCCCTGAGGGAGCTGGACACTGACCTGCCGTGCTGGTGCGCAGGGGTGGGACACGGGGCAGGGCCCCTCCAGGATGGGACCCCATACACACCTGCCCTGGGATCTCCGAGGGGACCTCACCCTGGTCTCTGCCTCCAGGGGGACAGGGGACTGGGGACAGTACTGTGGGTGGAGCAGCCCAGTGGGCCCTGAGGCCAGCAGAGGTCTGTGTGGGGGATGGGGGGAGGCATCCTGGAGGAACCGAGCTGTCCGACGCCCACACGGGGCCTGTGGTCCTACCGTGTGTCTGCCTTTGCCTCCAGGTTGAGGGCCTATAGGCCGCCTCAGAGCTGGGAGTGCTTTGTGAATGGGAAGAGACTGGAGGGAAGGAGTGCTCTCAGAACAAGTGTATGGGGCAAAGCCAGCGTCCTTGTTGTTAGCCTCAGGTCTTCACAGAGTCACTGCTAAGCTGTCACCCCGTCCCCGCCCTCCCCCCACCATGCTCCCCCGCCCCTTGAACCCAGTGACCCTGCCTGAGCCTCTGCACCTCTCACTGTCAGACTCAACCAAGTCTCTCCTCTTCCTCCAGGAAGCCTTCCGAGGTCACACCTAGGCCCCCTCTCTAAGTGTTCCTGAATGTAGCTTTCTCCAGGGTCTGTGTACTTCTGACTCCCTAGGGTGGGTGGAAGGAGCCTGGTGATGCTGTGGGTTAGACACTAAACTGCTAACCTCAAGGTCCCTGGTTCAACCCCCCTCCCCTGCCCCGCCACTCTCCACGGAAGAAAGATGTGGAGATGTTAAGTGCCATCTAGTTGGTTCTGACTCATAGGACCTTGTATTGGGTTTCCAAGGAGCAGCTGGCAGTTTAGAACTGCTGACCTTGCATTTAGCAGTCCAGTGTTTACCCTACAGCGCCACAACATAACTCCCCATAAGAATTTTTTTTTCTTATATGTTTTATTGTGAATTATGTGATAGTTTACATGGGAGAACATTAGTTTTACATTCATTGTATCGTCTCATTGCCATGGTTACAATC